CGCATCCTCCCCGCTTCCCATCCACGGTCACCCGGGCAGCCGCACCCACCTGCCCTCCTCCGTTCCTGCGGGAGCACCAACGCACGCTGACAGACTCGGATTATTAAAACAACCCCAAGACACAGATTTCTTTTTTCAGTTATAAAACTTTGATGGCCGACCCAGGGAACCCCACTAGCAGCCACCACTGGCGGCAGGGCAAGACTGGCCCACAGCCTCCTGCGCTGGGATGCAGCCCCACGCAGCCGGCACCAGCACAACCCAGACGGCCCACGGGGAAGGGCCTCTGGGAAGCCAATTTCAAATTTCACCAGGAAACAAAGGCTTCCTTGGAAATCCTGCCAGTACGCAGCTGCCCCCACCGACGCACCTCCCCTCCATCCCGCTAGAGTCTGCCCTTCACTCCCCCCTCAGCAGCACAGCTGCACAATCCTGCAGGGAAGCCGCAGCATTTCTCTTCCCCGTTTATAAATGGGTTTATCAGTGTTGTCTCAGGCCTCACAGGAGCTCTGAAGCACTCCTGCCCTGCAAATAATAGTCTGGGATAATGATAACGATCATATTCATGGGTAGCAAAAAAACCCTGCAGGTTTGCAATTTGCAGGCAGGGTTGCAATCTCTACAAGGCAATACTTTCCAAGTCTGCTGCTGATCAAAACCAGTTTTTCACGGGAATGCTCAGAGACATGGTTGTAATGAAAGGCTATTTCCATGCCAAATTTCCATGCTCAAATCCCTAGCTGCTTCAGCTGAAGAGCTGTTTATGATAAAGTCACAGGATTTTTCTTTTGCTGAAAGTGGAGGGGGTATTTTGGTTCTCCTCCTTGTTCTGCCAAGCTAGCAGATGAACTGGCTTTGCACTAACCAAAGTCTAACTTCCGGGCAGCTACCACGCTTGGAAAGCTTCAGCCCCCCAAACAGGAGTGTTCCTACTATGCTGGAAAGAGACTGGCTTCAGTCTTATACAGCCTTGCAGGGGTTGCTAGCTGAGTGCGTAAGATGAATGAAAGCCGGCGATACACTTAGCGGGGCTCTGGAATCTGGGTTTTCCCAGCCTGCGCTTTAACGCAGGAGGATGGGCCAACAGCCCTGGCCTAGGACCGGGGTGTTCTGGGTCAGTTTTCCCAGTTCTGTCACAGGCAGTTTGTGCAGTATTGGAAAAAGCCACTTTACATTGTCACATCTCACTTCTCTCATTCCCAAAAGAGAGATAGTGACATGAAAGAAACGGACAAGTTCATGAAAAGCTGTAAGCTGTTCTGCTCTGTGCGTGCACTGAGGGTACAGGGATATCAGTCTCGGTTGACTTTTCCAGAGACCTTTGATATGATCATAAACAACAACAATTAACAGTGTTTAAATAAGAAACAGCCTAGAATACAGAGAGTAAGGCCTGGTAATCCAAGAACAGCATCATGTTTCTTTACACACAGAATATAGGACTGTCATGGTTTAACCTCAGCCAGCAACTGAGCACCACACAGCCGCTTGCTCACTCTCCCCCTCACAGTGGGATGGGAGAGAGAATCAGAAGAGTAAAAGTGAGAAAACTTGTGGGTTGAGATAAGAACAGTTTAATAATTGAAATAAAATAAAACAGTAATAACAATAATAATAAAGGATTACACAAAGCAAGTGATGCACAGTGCAATTGCTTACCACCCGCCGACCGATGCCCAGCCAGTCCCCGAGCAGCGGCCCCCCCAGCCAGCTTTCCACAGTTTATGTACTGAGCATGACGTCACATGGTATGGAATGTCAATATGGCCAGTTGAGCATGGGAAGCTGAAAAGTCCTTGACTAGTGTGAGCACTACTTAGCAACAACTAAAACATCAGTGTGTCATCAACATTATTCTCATCCTAAATCCAAAACACAGCCCTATGCCAGCTACTAGGAAGAATATCCCAGCCAAAACCAGGACAACGACATAATGGCTGGAAGATATTTTAACTCTCTCTTATCCAAAGGAAGCTCAGCTCAGCCACCTTGCATGCACACAGCAAACCCAGCCCTCCCCAGAAGCCCCAGCCCTAGGAAGACCCACTGTATGCAACCTCTGCCTGATGCAGGCAAACAAAGACTGTACATTATTCCGAAGTGGGGAAAGGAAAGGGAAGGAAACACAATTCTCTTTGGATGGAGATTTTTAAAAGGAAATGTTAAATTTCGGTTTCCCCATTTCAAGCTCATTCTAGCTATACAGACAGGAGAGATCAGTTTAGAAACTGTCTATCTTCAATTCATAGCAACATAAACATCATCAACATATAACTTTTGTTACCATCTTTCAAACAACTGCCTAGTTCAGCAGATGGAAACACAACTGTGTCGTGCATATCAGACCATGCATGATAACAGACGGACTCTGAATACATTAATTTAATGTCTGGATCCTGACTCTTTACAGATTGTACTTTAAATTTGGTTTTTTTTGCCATGACTGGCTGACAAAGAAGGGGAAAACAGAGAGAGACATTTGTTCTTTAACTACTCAGAAAAATACTGAAGTCAACCATTTCACTACCTGAAACGTCTCCTGATGTGGAGGTTCAGTGTAACGCCATGTGCCATCCCTCTGTGCAGGCATGAGTTAAGGCAGATAATCAGAGGTCTGAAGAAAACACATCCAGGTAAAATCCGTCCCATCAGCATAGGACTGTTTGCCTAGTTCTAGAACAAATCCTAGTACTGATTTCTCAATCAGCTCAAACCACTTTCAATTTCCACGTTCCTCAGTTTGCAAATATGACTTAGCTATCTCC